CAACAGACAGAAACATCTTGAGACGATTACATTTAGGGTCAGAGACAGAAAATGGTGTTAGAATCACTAAACCACTTGCAAGTGCACTTAAAGACAAACACATAGCATATCAAGTGCTAGCAGAGGTCTTCCAGGACACCTTTTTAAGTGAAAAAAATATCCTGATCAGACCAATGTCTCTGAATTAGTTATGCTATTAATCATTATGTTACTCTATTCTCCTATAATTTTAAAATAGAAATCAATCTCAACATAGAATGATAAGGACATAATTTAAACTGGGGAAAATACACAACATTTCTCCTAACATGAGAAATGTACCTGTCTTTGTTTAGCTCCAGACCCACAGTGCTGCAGGTTGTATCTTGCATCTTGGATTCTACAGCACAGATATCTTCTCAGTGCTCTAGGTAACATCCTCTATTTGCTGCAGAGAAAGAAAGCTTTGTCACTGAGGCTTCCACAGCCTGGATTTCATCCTTCATGTGATAATGCACAGTACCAAAAAAGTAAAATACTAGACCATGTTCTTAAACTTCTCTGTTAAATACGGTAGATGACTGTGGCCCAAGCAATCATTCAGATTGGATTCTGCAATTGTTTCTATATGACTGAAGCATGTGCCTTAAGAGACAACTTGAAGTGTGAAGATATAACTCACTCTGTTGTAAAGGCCTTTTTCAATGCTATAGCTACAGGTATATTCACACTCCAGTTCCCTGCCATCACCACCGAGACAGCAGCATTAATGATCAACCACATAATTAACTGAGTATCAATTTTAGTTACTTGCAAACTCCTCACAAAAGCAGAATCTGTTATCCAGGATCATGATACAGTTGTTCTGGCCCTAACACAACCAAGGCTGAAAGATGGAGTTGTGTGGGTTTTAGAACAGCTGCTACAGCATCTCTTTACACTACTGTAGTTGGTCTCAGGTTAACACCTCTCCTCTGATCTCACCTGAGACAACTGCTGATGTTTCTTTTGCATCTGCTTAAAGTCATCTCTCCGGTTGATTGCCACTGCTAATTAACTCTGTACTTTATACCAAACAGAACACAAAGAGTACAAGACTAGTCCATCAACCTGGCAATGATTTACCAAAGCACAAGTTTCCTCTGCTTATTAGAGAAGTGAACTGTACTTGATTTGAATACAGTTGTTTTATACATTTAGATTCCTAACAAGAACTTATCAATATGAATGTTCTGTATGTCTCAGAACTACACCTTCAAGTTTAATTCTGGAAGTCTGAAACAACGCAAAACAAAACAAAATAAAACACAAAAAAACCCGCTTTAGTATTCCTGCATATACTGTGTGCAAAGACAACTATGGGGAAAACAAGAGAAACAAAGTTGTACAAGCACATTAATCTTCAGATGAACAACTCAATAACACTTTCAGGTGTCCCTAGTAGAGCAAAAACCCCCAAACACATAAACAAGCAAATAGAGTCAATTTTGTTTCTTGAATTTCATAGGAACAAGTGCTAAATAAACATTCCTGGAAACTGTGCAATACACAGATTCAGTACCAGATTTTGCACTACTGTCAACTGCCCACTACCTAGCAGCTGTTGTTATGGATGAAATATTAGGTATTTTCTTTACAGCATCACATTGCTTGTATAATATCTTTCAGAAAATTTATTTTACAGATCTCAAATTTGGAACTCCTAAAGTGATTTCAATCACCTAGGCTAACGCACACACCAGAAGTAAGGAAAACAGGCAGATAGTTCAGTTGTAGAACAGAGTATCTAATTAAAACATGCCTTTATATAATATACTCATCCCTGATTATTTCATTCTAACTGTAGTGGAGGGAAACCTCTACTTCAGAAGAAGTGTCATTAATAAATAAATAAAACCCAGTAACCCTAGATTCCCACCTGTATCAATATACAGTGACATCAACTTGATTCTGAAATTCAGCTCTTTTAGGCTTCTGTCAACCATCTTTCAGGCAGGACTAGCATCACTTTTGTTGTTAGTGTTGAATTTCAAACATTAAAAGATCCTTTTGTAAGCAACAACAGTGAACTTACTGTAGCAATTGGCTCACTTTTGAGATCACATTTTAATATAATACTAATTCTGGCTCGTTTATTAGTGTTGAATACATGTAAAAACAGTTCAGCACCCTCTGTGCCACAGCAGAGTGTATGAGGTAACTAGATGCCATTCTTCAAGCATTTGGTGCTCTTATTTTAATACAATGCCTGAATTAGTTGCAGATATATTTTGAGCTTGACTGTTATATAGCCACCCTGACCTTGTAGTTTTCCTCTACTTCATTTCAATTTCCACATTCCCATTAGCTTTTAATAATTACTGTTGTATGGCAAGTAAAAAATTTAATCAAAGCAAGCAGTTCAATGAGCAGTGTGTAGGAGCATGCAGAAATACAGGAAGTCTACTACAAAGTAACATCTATGGCACTATCACTGAAGTCCCAAAAAAACCTTTTCTGTAGAAACATCTTGGCAGTAAAAATGTCAAGAGGAATCAGTAAAAAAACCTCCTGTTAAAACTCCTGTCAACTTGAGATGATCGTAAAGGAAAAAATATCATGAGAGAGTGACAAAAGGTACCTATAAGGATGAAAGTTTATTTCAAAATGATTCTGTAGAAAGCAGATTATGCAATTCCTTCCCACTGCCACTGTCTGAGAGATCATGTCATGCAAATCTCAGAAAGATATCAGCATGCCCATGTAGTACTGAATGAAGAAGATAAATGGAAAGAACATAAGAAAGACCTGAGATCAGATCTTCAACCTGTACAAACCAGCACTGTCCAGTTTGTTTTAACCAGACAATACTAATCTACAACAGCCCACGGTTCTTGGGCTTAATAGGAAAGTGTTCTTCCCCATTCCTATGAACAGTTTTCCTACTGAAAAGAACAGAAGAAAGTGTTCTTTCATTACGAGACAGGTAATATAACAGGTAATAACACCACCTCCTTTTGCATACAAAAGAGATAGTAAAAAAGGTTAAAGTATCATTAAATGATGTCTGCTTTTTCGTGTTAATGCTACTTTGTATTTTGCTATCCAGATTCAGACAAACAGGTGCCATGGAACAATTGCTATGCTTGATACTCTTCTTCCTGTTATTAAACCAATTAGGAGTAAATCCACTGTAGTCCATTAACTTACACCAAGGCTTAGATAAATTACTTCTCTACTCCACAGCATAATTTGTAACCTTTGCTACTATAAAAAAATATAACTTGTTCAGCATACCATGCTATTTCTATTGATTAAAAGATAAAGCAATGTTCATGAATTAAAGGACTTGACTTTAGATACCATAATAGAGTGTTAAACAAGAAATGCTAACCAAAATACACGTGGGTTTTGTTTGTCTTCATCCTAGAATTTTGTCCAGATAAACCCCCTTAAAAATGAAAACAGATTTTTTTCTGAGAAGGAAAACCTTGTATCTGCTGTTACCCACTTCTTTTTTTTACAAAATTAATGCTCTTGAAATAAGTAATAAACCCTCTCCTATTTATACCAACAATTTTGATTTCATGTTAAGGAAATAGATTGTGAGAGTGTATACTGTAAAATATATATGAGTAATATATAATCATAATATAAATATTATATAAATATAAAATATAGTATATTATTTCATGTAATTTAAAATACTCAAAACAGATTATTAAGTAGGCCATCTGATTGTACATAATCTTCCAAGAAATACAGACTACAAGATTAGTTTATTCAGCTTTACCTCATTTCAGAGTTTTGCTGTCACTGAAGGCATTGGATTCTGTTCCAAACTGATTCGGGACAGCACTACTAATTTAAAAAATGGTCAGGAAATATGAAATGAAGCTTACTGTAGAAAGATCACCCCAAATTACAGCATGCTTTCCTCTATCCTAGTGACAAGTTATCTTTGTCAGAATGACACATTGTCACCTCTGATCTTTCATCTCCAACTTCCTTTATACATTCCAAAGGATCAATGGATTCAGAGAGACCAGACTAGTTTCTTTTCATAAGGATTTGACTGCTAGAGTCATCTTTCAGTGAGCAACAATAAGGATGAGGTGAACCAAAAATCTTTAGCATACTTGGAGTTTGAAAGGTTATGTTTTGATGGCAGAGTTGTAGTTAATTAAACAGAAGTAGATTTATTAAAAAAAAAAATCTGTTCTTCTTGCCCATATTATCTTAGGATATAAATAGAAAGAAAAGTTTAATTAGTTAAGGAAGAAATTTGAGCCAGGTCTCAAATCAAACATTTGATCCATTAAACAGTAACCTAAGTCGTGGTTATTGTCACCTTTTGAATCCTTTATAAGCCAGTGTGGCAAGCCAGAGCAAACATTACTATTTTGCCTGGTATCTCCTCAGCTATTTTTGCCTTTACCTCCTGCGAAAACTATAAAGGTGAGCAGATGACTTGAGATTAATTAAATGTAATTACTGTGCAGAGCTGCACCAATGGTAAGTACAACAACCACTGTTCTAAGATTTTTATTATAGTTGCTGGAATTACATATGGATGGACCTTATATATAGATAAGCATCAGTTTTCTTTTTATTCTTCAGAGCTGTTGGGGGAGAAAACAGAAGCAAACCTTCCTGCTTTCTTTTTCTCACGGCATATACTGTTATTTGTATTGCCAGATGCCATGCATTCCAGTAAGACTAATTCTTAGATTAATGGTTACATAGAGTTTAAAAATGTGCTGTACTTAAATAGGATGCAGGTGAATGATAAAAAAAAAGGATCATCAATTCACAACATAATTTGCATAATCTGTTTTATTAAAAAGTATTATTTCAGCACTGCTATTTTTAAGGAAGTAATTTACTAAATCTTATTATTTGTTTATGAATAGCAGCAATGTTGGTTTGATCAATTTGATTCATCTACATTTTTAAGTCTTTGAAACAGATAAAAACCAATTTGCTGTTAAGATGCATTTGCATTTCACAAATCTGTTTGCAATATACTATTTTGCACAGGTTTAAAATGAGCCTTACAGACATTCTAAGCCCTTCTGATATTGCTGCTGCTCTGCGGGACTGCCAAGGTGAGAAAACAATTAAAACTCTAAAAATCTATTCTGTTGTGTAACACATGGCAAGTTTAATTCAGTCCCAAAGGAATACTGAACAGGCGCATACCGTAAACAGATTTCTGTAATCTCTTTAGTTAGCTGTCACAGTACATCTGTTCATGATTGGTTTATAATGCCAGTGTGTAACTTATCCCATGTGATTTTTTTGATGTTTAGGAGGGTGTGGTGCAGTATGGCAAAATTCATTCTGGCAGGCTTTATCTATCATTCATGTGTAGAACAATTAAAATGGAATGAAGCCACATCCTCAGACCGTTTAGGAACAGTGAACACAGTGGTCTGGGGTTAATTTATTTATTAATTTATTTTCAGCTCCAGATTCCTTTAGTCCCAAAAAATTCTTTCAGATCAGTGGAATGTCTAAAAAGAGTAGCAGCCAGCTCAAGGAGATCTTCCGGATTCTCGACAATGATCAAAGTGGCTTTATTGAGGAAGATGAGCTCAGGTAAGGATTTCATTAATTATTCAGAGGCTATCCAAAAAATCAGCACATTTTTCTTTCCAGAACTGTTCTGTAAATGTGAGCACAAGTTATGCAAAATGTTGATAAAACCTTCAGCAGACTGTGAAAGGTGTATTTAAGTAGCTAATCCCTACAGAGAAAAACAGATTAGTAACTACCTGCCTTTAATGCTCAGTATAGAAAAAGATAGCTCCCTGGGGGTGGATTTTGGAAGTGTGTAGGATCAGTTGCATCAAGGCTGGACTTACAAAGCAGAAATGCATATAACTAAAATTTAGCTCGTCAAAGAAAACTGTTTTTAGGAGCTGGCTATTGTGGTAAATAATTTATTTATAACTAGCTATCAGTTTGATCATACAGTTACCATAAAAGATTAATATTCTGTGAAAATCATAATCAAAGCTGTTTTCTTCCTAGGTATTTCCTTCAGAGGTTTGAGTCTGGAGCCAGAGTGTTAACCACCACTGAGACCAAGACCTTCTTGGCAGCTGCAGATCATGATGGGGATGGTAAAATTGGGGCTGAAGGTATTAACTTACTTATATACAGAATAAGGGTCCTTGGGATGTGTTGTAATGATGTGTGATTCCCTTTTATGTTAATGGTGCATTAATGTACCTCCAGCGGTTTTCCTGACACCTTGCAGTAGCAACCTGTCTAGGGTGGAAACAGTTCCTGATTTTACAGATCTATCTCTGCAACTCGTTTTGCACAAGCAAGTCAAAAAAAAACCCAAAACCACCCAGGCTGCCCTAGGGAACCTCCTCATTGCCACTCTGAAATTTCAGTTTTCTGAAAGGAACTTCCCTTTATTTCTCCTCCCACTAACTCTGGTGTAAGGCAGTACTAGCATCACTTGTCATACACAAATGTAAAATCAAGGACAAAAGACCAGCTCTCCACAGGAGAACCAACAGCACGTACATTGGATCATTTACAGCAGTTAACTCCCAACAGAAAATCTTCTAGTCAGTGACATCATTCACAATCTGCAAGAGCTAGCAGCGTGCCGCTCAGTATCTGTTTTGCATAACAAGGAGAACAGAACAATTAAGTGTCACTAGCCTGCAACAGGCTCCGTGCCTGGGGATGGGCGCTGTCTATCTCCAGCGGCAGGCTAAGGACCAGCCGGGAAGGAGCCGCGTACTGCACTCACCCCATGGAAATGCCGCAGCGATTTAATGGCTGCTCAGTGCAGAAACCTCCTGACCTCCTAACTCCGTCTTTCTGCGTCTCATTTTGATCAGGAATCACACAGTGACACAAAAGGCTTGCAGCCAATGCCAATTTGGCCCCTGAGAGAAGCAAGCTGCCTGGATGAGCATGAAAGGGGCTTAGGGAACAGCACGCAGGGAATGTGCTGCTGTGCAGATTGCCTCGCTCACTGCGCTAGGAGGACAGAACTCTGCTGTTTCTTCCTTTGGAATGAATTAAATCTAATTCCTTAGGGAATGTGCCAGAATAAACACACATGATTTATGAAGCAATCTATATACTAATAAAGTCATTCAGTGATGGGACCTATCAGATACTCTAACTCACAAAAGCCAAACATTTAAAAGATGTTCCAAATCACAGTGTCTCACTATATAACACAAAACTCCAGTAGCACACCACATGGAACTGCACAACGTTCATGGCTTTAGAAGGTACTCTGAATCAACACTCCTCCACTGCAGAGGCATTACAAACAGCTACTAAGACACATAGACTCACTTTTAATTCTTTAACTTCAGCTCTTAACTGCTTCTTACTCAAATTCCATATTAGCCATTACATTATTTTTGCCCAAGATCATCAGTATTATGTAGAGAGAAGGCTAAAACTACCCTGAACATTTTATTATTTCTTACAGATGTCAGCAAACACTGTCTTTCCATCGGCTGTTTACAAAAGGAAGTTTAGGCAATGTCTCTCCTCCATATGTATTTCTTCTCCTCTGGTCATCTATCAGACAATTGTTTTCTTTTCATTCCTATTCTAAATCTCTTGATAAACCACTAACCTTTTATTCCTAATCCTTTCATTTTAATATTTCTACCATAAATATTCTCTTCTCTTTCACAGAATTCCAGGAAATGGTGCAGTCTTAGAGGTTCAAAAGGACCAAAGACAAAACCTGGGATGAATCTCCACAAGACACTCCAAAACCTTGAAAATCATGATTCCCTTATTCATCTTGACAGTGTCTGTTATATTTTCATTGCCTTAGCAACAAGATGAAACACTGATTAATTTTTTTTTTCATTCTGTGGACCATTTACCATATTCTAAACTCTACTTTATCAGAGATTTCCCTTAAAAATATTGAATAAAAATTAATCATATACTGTAGCTTGTGTCTGTTTTTCTGACTGTTAAACGGAAACATCTGAAATCTTAAACTAGACATGTTAAACGTCCCAAGTTCTTGGTCTTATCAGACCTTTGTTTATGGAACATCTTTTGAAATCAGTGGGAGTTCTGTTTACAACAGGCCTTCCAGTTTAAGCTTGAAGTTCTCAAAACACTCAGATCTTCCTCAAAGACTAAGAGCTCAGACATAATGGTGAGGTAGGTGAGGACAAAATCTCTCACTGACTTTCAAGTGAAAAGCAGTCATACATTTTTGCTTAAGTGGTCTCTGCATGAGACTGTTGCAGTTTCACAACACTCCTTTTACATGAGCCAGTTAAGAGAACAGGGAAGTAAACCCCATATGCTTTCCTGAAGAAAGAATTAAAAGGAATACCTAAGTGGGTGTGAGGCTCAGATAACTGTGAGGCTTTAAAAAGCAGAGGGGAAGCAAAATATATCTTCTTGGTGGTATCTTCTAGCTTTCTCAGTAGGGAGGACTAAAGGTGTGGAGGAAGAACTTGTAGAAATGCACACTGAGAAAGCTCCAATGTACTCTGCCCAGTATTTCCAGGCTGTCTGCCGTATTACCACTCTCCTTCCCAATAACATGCATCTCTGGGGATGCTAGAGAAATGTCTTTTTTTTTGTGAACAAACAATTCAGTCATTAGGAAGGGGACATTCAGGTGCTCTGATGGAGTATTTACGTATTCACCTTCTCTACATTGCCAAGTGCTGTATACTGCTGCTTACACACATGCAGCTTGTAGCAGTCACTAGAACACAAGGGAAACTTCAGCAAGATGAATGGTTTAGTCACTGCAGTTTCAATGCATTTCTTCCTTTGTTGCAAATGGCTACATTCAACATTAACCACATTTTATTATTTTCTAAAGTGTCTATAAATACGAGTGATTGTGCAAAAAAAAACACCAAACCCAGAGCTGAATTGTCTTATGAGACAACCAGCAATTGCTGGGGAAGGGACTAAAGAATCTCGGCGCACTTGTGAGCAGGGCTGTGTTATCTTCCAGGGCAACAAAGTCACAGAGTCCCCATGGCTAATGCTTCAATATCCTAGGCCCCTTCCTCTCTTCCAACCTGCATTTTGCAAACTTGACAAAACAGTAATTGAAGAATTCTTGTTGGCCTCAAACGTTCATCATTGAAGCACAATCAGATCCATAAATAAAAATTCTCCTTTACTCAGTGTGAAGAAAAGCTCATGGAGTGCCATCCTCCAAGACAGCCTAGACAGCTGCACCAATACAAGCTCTGTAATGAATCATCCCCACCTACTCATCATCTCTGTGTCTCCTCAGCGACCTTCTACTCTTTTGGGAGCCAAATACTGGAGAGGCAGCCAAGAAACATCTACTGCCTTTTAAAAATATATGCATATATTAATCCACATTTCTTAAGAGCTGATGATTGAAAATGGAATTTCCATTGCAAAATCTTTTCAGGCAGCTTAATTTGGCATACAAGTTGTTTCTAAGCTGGTATACTTGGTTCATGTGAGAATTTAATAAGGTTGTCACAGTTTTCCTTTTATTGTGCAAAAATGGTACAAACTGATAAAAAATTAACATTGACTTTTAATAGTAATTCTTAACATTATGAAAAATGCTCATTTGGCATAAATCACTACAGTATCAGTGACTTAAATAGAGCTACTCAGATTCACACAAACTGAGGATCTGACCCAGCAGGATCTGACCCACGGAGACTAATAGCATAAGATGGATGTCACAGGATATTCCCAAGAAATAAAGCGTGTTCTTGGCAGTGAGACCAGTCTGATGACAGGTGGGTCTTGGAGTAGTTCATATGTAAGTACCAAACAAATCACTCTCCATTTCACTGACAATTAAGTGTCCCGACCTTGACTAATCGTATTACATCAGGCAGGCTAAAGCATGTAAAATAAAGAATTTTCCAGTTGCTGTTGCAGTCTGAACTCTAGCCCCTCTCAATGTCTCAGCCTTTGCACCATGAACCTAGACAAAAAACCCAGAGGCCAGGTACAAATTCTGCTAGTCTCCACTAAGATGCAACACATTGCTGGAGCAGGTCACTGGACAGAGATGGACAGAAGATTCCTGCCCTGGTATACAACAAATTCATGAGTGAAATTAGAACTTTGTTAATTTCCCAGAAAGGATAGATCATAGTGATCTGCATCTCATGTTCCTTTAAAACATCTGAGCTACAAAATGTACTGAGGCCAATCAAGAGGCAAGGAACAAAAAGAGTAGGGAAGCACTTCTTGGGCTGATATGTATCCTTTTAACTAGCTTGTATATAATGGCTTTAGAAAAGTCTTGTTGATCACTACTAACTCAAAACATGTCTCAATATCTTGTTTATAGCTTATTATTGTATATAATCGAGCACTACAGCACCAAACATAGGAAGTAAAACCCACTTACTGTACTTGAGATATTCTGAGATCTTTCCAAAATCCAAACTATTGCGGTTAAATTAATCTTTTCATGTATTTCCATCAGTGAAAAAAGTACCTTAAAAAGCCTTCATAGTACAGCAGCTACCCCAGTAACTACTGTTCTCTGTGGGAGAACATTTTAAGTAAAGAAAAACTTGTTGGCTTGTAGGATTTCTGAAGTGGAAGAAACTTTTAAAGTTAAAACATCTTATCTGTTCCCTGGAATCCTTGAAATGCTGAATCATACCTTCAAATGCTCTGGTAAAACATGTAATAGTGATAATTCAAACTAGATTTACTCACTGGCAAAGATACCTGTCTGCTCTATGGCCTAAACCAAAATGCCATCAGTAGGCCTACTTCTAGAGTCATGCTATGTAGAATTCCAGTTCTTTCAAGCAAGCACTTGTAGCTGAGAAAGCTCTTGGGCAGGGCTTTATTCACTGACAAGGAGGGAAAAACTAAAAACACTTACCATATTTAACCACCATTTTACATGTGGAAATGGGTGCTCACTAAAGGGAATGAGCAGCCACTTTCTATAACCATATATTTCATGAATGGGATAGAAATAAGGACTGCAGTAGTCAACTGCACTCACTACAAAGATTTGACATGAGAGGCAGCATTCAGAAATCAGGTACTACTGACAATCATGCTTACAGATTGCAGCTAGTTACCAGAATTACCACTTGTACATCGTATACTGAAATATCTACTAGACACAACTATAAAAATACATTCTTAGAAAACATCAGAATTCTTGTGATTCCATTAAAATACAGATCTCCAGAGTTCCATTTCATATTCACATTATTTACCCCATAATACCTGTGTCATGTTACCCTGTCTCTGAACAGTTAAAAATAAAATATTAAAGAATAAACAGTGGTTTTATTCAATCTCTAAGCATAAGAAATACCATGCCTTAAATATGTCAAACTGTTACATAATTCTTCATGTAATTCTCTCATTTCTTGCTGTAATCAGCAGGGAAATAATTAACGTATTACTATAATTCATCTTCAGAGCTGAAATCCTTTCTCACACCTTCCTCATCCTCTCTTCCCAGCTTTTCTTTCATAAGTACAGATCCAAGCTAGTAACAACACTCTAGGCATTCCTATTAAACACATTATGTAAATCAAAACATTTAATTATCTTAAGTTTTGCATTCAAGTATTTTTTTGCTGTTCAGTAACTTTGTATCCTTATTCATAACCAAATGTAGTGTAAAGTTACTACCTTCCTATATGAAATCTCTGACCCTGCAAAGCAAATACATCTATTATTAAACCATCTCTACTCACCACAACACTCAGACAGTTGCTCGTGTTCCTTGACATCACACTAAGAAGAAATCTGGAGGAGATGAATGATACCCTTAGCAGGACCCCTGCATCTAGCTGCAGTGTTGTATTTTCACACAGAGCTACAAAGGCCTGTCACAGTACCAACAAAGCCTGCAGACCAGGGATGCACTGGCATTGTGCTTTTTGCTGGATCACAGCGCTATTTTGTAATTTATTTGCTAAACTAATCCCAAACCGCTGACTCTACACATTTGTTAACACATTTAGAGCACATACTGTCAATGGAGCAGCTATTTGAGCTGTCAGCTGTATTTATTTACAGCTGTCATGTCTAACACCCAGAGTGATTTATAGTATACCTTTTTGTTAAGCCTGTTACTATGCAGCTGACGGAAATGCTCAAAATAGGACCTACAAATAGGCTCAACAAACCAAAACGTATGACTACACAATACTATTTCTTACTCCTACATAATTATTTTTTAATAAACTGGAAAGCACTCATCAAGTTGTTATTTGCCTCTTGATGCAAGGGTTGTCCTGTCAAATTCCCAATGTACTTATGCAGCAGTTTAATTTTACATAATCATGGGCTAGGAATCACATTTCAAACTCGGGGTGATCTGATGCCACTTTGCAAATGTCAAGGTGTGGTGTTACTGCACATACAATTAAGAAGATGGGATGAAACTGGAACCACAATCGAAGTTTCTTCCTGCCCTGTTACTTTGTACATTAGAAATGTAATAATTTAATTGCATCTATTATCACTTACTCTTTTTAGATTCTCACAAATACTCCCACCAAAAGCGATGTCAAGTTACAGATGAGGCTGCACTGAGCAGAATTATATTTTAGCAACCACTACACATAGATTAATTCCCTTCCTAGGGAAAGTTTGGCATGGAAACACCTTCCCTTGCAATCACCAATTACAGTAAGTACCCACTGTCCAACCGTATGTGCCCCCACAATGTATCCCCTGCAATAGCATTTGT